CCTGCCGTAGTTTAGAAGAACCACAAGCTGAAAAGTGCTCTCTATTTTCTCTTGATTTTGGAAGCCTCCCTGGGACTCAGGGAAGTCAGTGGAAAGGCATATGAGAATACTTGGGACTACTGCAGAAAGAAGGTGTCCCGTAACAACCTCAGATTCATGCTCACTTTGGAACAAAATTTCTGGCACTTGGCATTGATGACAACAGCAAACATGTCAATCACTGGGTTTTCCCAACACAGAACATCGCTGCTATGATGGATTTCCACAGATCAATTGTTTGCTCAGAAAATCAACCATTTTGTTACTGACACCCAGGTGAAGTGTGAGACAGTTCTCGAGGCACCCAGGGCTGCAAGTCACCTTGTTATCCCCCTGCCTCTAGCATGAGAGTGTCTTTCTTGTGGTAGCAAGGTGTCAGCACCCTGACACCACCAGGCTTTCAGCCATTCAAGTACTCTTCTCCGGGCTTAGGCCAGCCCTAATTTCGCCTTATAGACTCAGAGTTTAAGGTCAGAAGGGACCATTATGATCCTCTAGACTGACCTCCTGCACAACGCAGGCCACAGCATCTCACCCACCCACTCACTCCTGTAACAAACCCCTGACCTACGTCTGAGCTATTAAAGTCCTCAACTTGTGGTTTAAAGACTTCAAGGTGCAGAGAATCCTCCAGCAAGTGACCTGTGCCCCAGACTGCAGAAGAAGGCGAAAAACCCCCAGGGCCTCTGCCAATCTGCCCTGGAGGAAAATTCCTTCCCGACTCCAAATATGGTGATCAGCTAAACCCTGAGCGTGTGGGCAAGACTCACCAGCCAGACACCCAGGAAAGAATTCTCTGTAGTAACTCAGATATGTCTTTTGCCTCCACTGCTCCCCTTGGAAGGCTATTCCAGAACTTCACTCCTCAGATGGTTAGAAAACTTAGTCTAATTTCAAGTCTAACCTTCCTGATGGCCAGTTTATATCCATTTGTTCTTGTGTCTACATTGGTATGGAGCTTAAATAATTTCTCTCCCTCCCTGGTATTTATCCCTCTGATATATTTATAGAGAGCAATCATATCTCCCCTCAGCTTTCTTATGGTTAGGCTAAACAAGCTCTTTGAGTCTCCTTTCATAAGACAGGTTTTCCATTCCTCGGATCATCCTAGTAGCCCTTCTCTGTACCTGTTCCAGTTTGAATTCATCCTTCTTAAACATGGGAGACCAGAACTGCACACAATATTCCAGATGAGGTCTCACCAGTGCCTTGTATAACGGTACTAACACCACCTTATCGCTACTGGAAATGTGAGTCTATGCTCTCATTGGACCAGAACTGACCAGGACTCCTCAAACTCTATCATCTATGATGGGATAAGAAATTATTTTTTGGAGTTCCCTAGCAGGCTTATGTGCTGCTACCACCACTAGGCATTTGGCAAGACTCTCTGCAGCGACAGTCCAAACTGGCGAGAAGACCAAGAACCCTAGGTTTGGGCAGGCATAAAAGTATTCAAAACCTTCTGGTGGCACCTGATCCCTTTTCTCTGCACACCTAGAGGTGGGAAGAAGAATAGCTGAGATCTGCCAGAGCCTTTTGGCTGGTTGTAGTATACCTTCATTACTAGGGAGAGTAATTCTGGTCGGTGTCATCACAATGACACCCAGGATATCAAAGAGCTTATGAGACTTCCTGTAGAAACAGTTTTATGTCCAAGATCTCCGCAGGTCAGGGCAGGAGGCCCTGGAAGGCTTTAAAGTCATCTAATGCTGGCATAGGTGCTGGTGTTACTGCCTCATCCAGCAATGAGGAGGATTCCTTGCTGGGACATGGGGATTGTTGTTGTCCCTCTATCGTCTCCTGTTCCTGTGGTGGCCTAGCCAGAAAAGCCGTTGGGAAACATGATCATCTTTTTCTAGACGTGCAGGAAGGAGAGCTGCTGCTCCTCAGCACGTGGAAGGACAGCCCCGAGTAAGACTAATATGGCCAAAGTGGCCTATTGTATGGGTTCTGACCAAATTGGGGCTGGCTGGCCCAGCTCCACTCCCATGCCAGTTGGGGCAGCGCTCTGAATGGGAGCTCTTTAATACCCTCCTTATGGCCATTTTCCAATGATGGGGAGAGGAATCTCTGCTCAGTGCAGGAGAGAAGGAACATGTTAGCAATGGTAAGGAGGAATCTCTCTCAATTGAAGGGAACTGCTAAGGGATGGCATGCTGCCAGCCACCTCTTTGGTATGAGGAATGTCTCCAGGGGTGATATGGACACCTGAAGTCCTTGCTCAACTCCGTCATGGGGATCAGTACTGGCATCCAGGCCAGGCCTCCTGCTCTGCCCATCTGCTTAGGGGCTTTGCTTTTGGAGTGGTGTCCTAGGTATTCCCTCCAGAAGCCTCCCTCGGCCTTGAAGCTGTGCTTATGCTCGAACCAGCTATGCAATCCAGTGTCCTGTTTTGAGCACGCACAGGTGCCAGCTTTTCTACTTGAGTTGGGGCAGTCAATAGAGGAGCCGGAGTTGTAAGCACCAGAACTACTGGTGCAGAGGTGCTCGGCACCACAGCTGTCGTCACTGAGGTCTTACACACTGGAGATTTCACTGATGAGGAGGTGGTCAGCATCAGATGCGCTGACTCTGCTGGTGTCTTTTCACTCTCTTTCCACCGCCTTATCTCGGAACATGAAGAGTGTTCGATAGGGTCCAATACTGGTTTATCCAATCTCGCTCTGGTTGTAACCATTTACCTCTAGGACCAAAGTGACCTGCACAGATTGCTCAACTAAATGCCACTTCAGCCATGTGTCCCTGGACTTGTGGGTCCTGGCAGAAAAGGACTCACACAAAAAGCACTTAACCATTTCTAACTAGGAGACTGCCACATCCTGGATATCAGCTCTGTCCATCCTTGATGGAGATCAGTCCATTGCAGGAAGGTAGGGTTTGAACCCTGAGAGCTTAGACTTCACCGTGAGACATGGAGCTTGGCACGAAGTGCCTTGTCCCACTGTACAGGGGAGTTGTCTATCATTTTTTTTTTTTGAAGGAACATCTTTCGGAGAAAGGGGGTGTGAAGACAGAATTTTTCACTAACTGGGTGGAAAGAACTGAACAGAGTAGCAGTCAGGCACTTGCTGGGTTCTGTTTCATTGCCACAGGTGGTAAGAGGGAACTAAGGGAGGGTTGCAGCCACTCGACCCTTTATGCCCTCTCATGGGAACATGAGGAGCATAGAGTGTGTGCATGGCCCTGACCAACACTGCTATTCAAAAGAATCCAGTCTCATGCACATGTACATGCACTTGGGCTCCACACTGACCCATACTCAAAAAAGAGACCTGTCATAGGAGGATTACAAAGATTGTGCTTCCATACAGCTAGAAGCATGGATGGGAATAAACTGCACTGGGAATCTACCCTGATTTTCATAGGTACCTTTAATAATCTTACTGTTCTGAACTGTAACAAGATTGGGGCAAATTTGTGTCTCTACTATTGATTCTTAAAACCCTGTTTTGATCTAAGATGGGTGAAAATGCAACCAGGAGTTTCTTAATTTGATGTTCTGGCATTTATTAATGTCTTGAGGTTTGTTTGTTTGATATCAGTAAGATCAGTTTGAGGACTTGAAAACCAAAGCACCAGAGGGGATTTTCTAGGTTAACAGGAGAATCAAGCTCTAAACTAGCACTGAATGGAGCACAAAAAATTCACAGGTTTAAATGCTTATTACCCCCACCTTTTTTTGGGTCAAGAAATTAGACAGAAAAATCTCACTAGATATCCAGTACTTTCTGGCTGTGGCTCATCAGAAATACAACAGGGATAGCGTCTCTTGCTGGGTTTTGGCATTTCTACTTCTGGTATCAGATAAAAATCATGCAACACAAAGGAGTGTGAATTTATTTTCAAAAAGTTAAACCAAAATTTCAAAGCCTTTCAGCTTCAGTTCTGGGAGAAGCTCCAGATTGGTTCTCTAATCTAGCCTCAAAGACACCAATATTAGTGCTTTAGTCTCTTCTGTCACTACTTTCATCGTCTCCCTTCTATTGGAATCCAGATTCAAAGATCACTTTTTGTGGTATTACAATGTTTAGTAACTGATTTTATAAAGGAACACTTGGAAAGAAATAGGAAGGAATTTGCTGCTACAGCACAGTGCTTACAAGGTGTAAATGTGGGGCCTCCGCAATTTAACCATAATCCTATAAACATACAAGTTACTACTTCATTACTGATGAGAGTGTAACCAATGCAAAGTAGCAGCATTTCTTACTGTTTCGTTAGGGGGCTTAACCCACATTTAGGAGCTCTAATATGTCTGAGTGGATCTATCACGTAACATCTGTGAGGAAGCACTGGACAGGAACTTTGCCCCACAAACCTGGGATGTTAGGCAATACTCAAAATGGTTACAGATGCAAATGAACCCCTTTACATTTCATAATATTTTTGCCACTTACAGTTCTTGTCCTGACCCTGCTTGGGGTTTCCCTCTGAGTCACTGCTTTCTGTATCCACAGGAGAACTACATCTGGGACCTGATTCTGAGCTAGAAAAGAAAAGACCCGAGAATGAACCACAGCTGCGCTGGTCCTGATATAGGCTACTTAGAAATAACTCCTAAAAAAAGAAGTTATTACAAGCAACCCTAATAACTTACAGGATAGTCAGAGCCTTGCAACAGTGACAATATATACAGTATCATTATAGTACGAGATATGGATACCATGGATTTCAATCAGTGCCAACACAGAGGTGAGAGTATTGATCCAGAATCCACACAGACAATACGTAGAGAAAAGCAAAGAAAGATTACAGCACAGACCCCTAGCCAGTTATTCCATACAATCACATGCCAAACATTCTTTCAGAATTTGTGGAGAAGTTATTGGCATTTATACTTCATTTACCAACAAAAAGGTTGGAAGTCTGTAAATTTTGCCCATCCTTTCTCCTCAGGAGTGGCTGTCTCTGGTGCTGCTGAATCCCATACACTTGATCCAACATCCATGGCCACACAGGGTGCCGGGGGGTTTGAATTCACAGACTCAAACACAGCTGTCCACCCAGATCCTGAAGGTACAAAGATAAACAAAAGTTTCTTTTGTACAACCTTACACCTTCATAAAAAAAGGTCAAAGTGTGTGTGTGGGGGGGGGGGAATTCCCAGAGGTAAAAAACAAAAATTGTGCAATGGGAATCCTTATGGGAATCTATAGGAGGACTGTAGGTGAATCTCATGTTGAAAGAAATCAGGCCATTTACCGTTTTATCTGAAAATTGGTTTCTCTGACAAATATTGTAACCTCCACAATAGGGGAGCACTTATTAAGAAATGTATTTATACAATTCTGTAACTGCAATGCACTAGCTGTAGGCACACAGTGTGCTGCAGGCAAGAACTGGGCAAGTTTCTATCCATCTAGGTACTTAGATGTCCCTCATCACCATACTGTCTGAATGTGTCAATCATTAATGGAATTCATCCTCTCAATGTCCCTGTGAGGTAGGGAAGTGCTATTATCCCCATTTTTACAGGGGGGAACTGATGTACTGGGTAGATTATCCAAGGTCACACAGGTGGTCAAATAACAGAGCCAGGGATTAAATCCAAATCTCCCGAGTCCCAGTCCAGTGCCTTATCTATTAGAACATCCTTCTATCTCCTCAGTTTCAGACACACAGTTCTAACAGTGATTTGTTTCCTGATCTGCAATGCAGTACCTCTCTTAATACAATGTGTATTGTGCCAAACCAATCAGCTGTTGAGGAACATGCATAAATTAGGAGGTGATTCACCAAACCTATATTCACTCATGAACTGTACCAATATCTGAACTTAGTTTCTAGACAAAGACAATTGCATCAATTACGTGATCCACAGAAAGTGCCTGTTGTATAAATATTCTTAATTTAATTGGCCTGGATGTAGATGTCCCTCTGATGATGACCTGAAAATATCTGTGTTTTTGTAACACAAACAGTAGATAATGGCAGTGGAAAGTTATTGTTTTTTACAGGAGCAGACTTGCACAATGCTATCAGCTCTTCTGTAGCAACAACACTTGAAAAAAATAACATTTCTCTCTGCAAATTTTGTAGTCTAGTCACAAGTAACACCGAAGATTAATATAAAAGAAGTTTGCAAAAAACTTCTCTCCCTTTATTTCAGTTGGTTTACTTTGAGCAACTGACAGTGCAGTGTGTATAGTCAGTTTCACTCTTGTTTATTGTCAGTTGCACTTCCTGTCTCAAGCACTACATGCTGAGATCATTCCCTTGTGTTGCTCTGGGCCAGGCTCATGTGTGTACACTCCTTCCCCAGGCCCGGCAAGGATGGGTTTACAACAGCAAAACTGAAACTGAAATAACAGGTAGTTCTTCACATAGTAAAAAAAAGAGGAAGGGGAAGAAAGGTTGGGCCTGAATATATTCAGTTTTGCTCGCCATAAAACCCTTAAAAACATCCTGGGGGTCAGTGCCTTAGTCCTCTCACTTAATATCTTCTTCGTTGATTTTTAATAAAAATTGACACTGTTATAGTAATTATACCCTGCTTGGATCCAGGAGAGTAACTGACACTGCAATCTTGCAGAGCTCTAACTCTCTGCACCTGCAAGACCCAATCCCTACAACATTTTTAAGACCGATGCAAATTCACAATGGGCATTTTACTTCCCAGCTGCTGAGGCTACATTACCGAGTAGCCTCAATAGTCATGTGGCTTGCAGGTGGCTATACATACACCCAAGTGGTAGACCTCCAGGAAAGACTGCCTGAGACATGTTTCTGGAGACTTAATTAAGATGGTATGTTGAACTTCTTACCTTCAGTAGAGTCAGAGTCTTTCTGCTCAGAAGGATTATTCTTGTTGGTGTTCTCGGTGAGAGGTGTTGTTTGTTCTTCTGTTTCTTCCTCTTCTTCTGAGTCCACACTGCCATCATGATCCCCATTCTCTAGATCACTTTTTGAGGAACTCTCTGAGGTCTGAGACACTCCAAACCTAAATCATAGAATCAGAGTTAGAAAGACCTATTAGGCCATGTAGTCCTAGATGCTAGTCCCATCAGGAGGGGGAAGAAAGGGACAGTCCGGATGCTTCCTTAAAGTGTGTCTTTTAATGCTTTGATCAATGTAGTTTTTGATATCATAAAAGACAGGGCTTCCTACGGGAGATATTCCTCAGCTTAATAAATGTCCTTCAGGAATTTTGGCCTAACA